TTAACTCCTTGGTCAACAACCAATTTTTAAGTAATACTAATTTTTGGTACAGTAGGTAAGCTATCTTCCTTTTCAACGATGTAAGGTTTGAAAATAATCGATTGATCTGTTATATCTTTATCTAATTCACAAGAATTCTGTTTCAGCAATTCTGACAAAGTAGGTAGACAAGCTTTACATTTTGGACAAACTTGTTTTCGATTTTCAATATTCGATTCTTTACAATTAGAACATTGTTTGTTGCAACTGTTAGTTGGTCCTAGATTGTCAATAAGAGAATTGATATTGTTAATTGTAGATAATTTTTCCTGACACAATAAATTAATGATTTCAGAAATATAAGTATGCAATTCTTTGTTTATCACTTCCTGCATTTCAGATGTAATATCAGATAGGCTTTCATAGTGTGACCTATTAAAAGAATGAGATATCTAAAGCATATCTGTATGTTGAGTATAGTTTTGTGGCTTTATATTAAATGCAGCAAAACTGATAACAATGTGAAATATCACGGTGTTAGATCCTTGATCAAGATAATTTTTTTGCTCCTGTTGTTCGTTATCAAATGCTACAAACACAAGCCCACTAGGTAAAGGTTCTTCTTCTTCAGACAATTCGCCCAACCAATTCTGAAAACAAGTATAAAATCCTGAATTAGTAATATGCCCATCGATATTAATTATAGTTTTTGATCTTGTGATAGAGTATTTTATGGCTAATGCCACAAGACTCATTTCTGACACATATTTATTGTGTCTAGACCTGTAAATTAAATTGATAGCTATGGCCCTTTTGCAAAGTTTTTCAGCATTAAAAAGATCTGAATTAAGATTATTCTGAGTTAATACTTTAATAAACTTTACAATAACTTGATTGCATTCACTTAGCCATGCTTCTGAAGTGTAATTTAATAGATTTTCTAAAGAAAATCTATTTTTGTCTTTAATAATAAGTTCAATATTTTTGTATAAGGATTTCTGCTCAAGTAGTGCAATCTTAGTAACTGCTTATATATATCTATATTGATTACAAAATCAAAAATTCTATTAATTAGTAAGTTTGTCATTCTCTTTATAAAGCTTTCTATATAGATTCTTTATTTGAAATATTTCTTCTTGATATTCACATAGCTGACTCTTTAGATCTAAGATTTCCTGTTCTTGATCTGTTATTTGCTGCTGTAATTTCATAACTTCACTAGAAAGACTTGTTATATGCCCTTTATTTTTTTAATCTAAATTTTCTAATATTTCTTTCACTTGTTCAAAATCACCTAATAAATATGACTCGTCACTATTAATTATTTTTTTACAAATACTTGAGTCATAAACTTCTTGATGGACGCTAGTATCATAAACTTTTTGAACACTAGAACTATCATTCTCCTCATAAACACTAGAATTACAAATGGAAACAGAATCATCTGAAAAATTAATATTGATTCTAGATTTCTTGTTTTTGTATATATGATCTAAAAGCCGCTGATAAAAGTGGTTAGTGGCTATAACTTGATTATAATGTTTTTCACAGATTGAGTAAGAACTTAAAAAAGGATGAAGATCTGCGAGTTCAGGCATAAAAGCATGATACAACAGAAGCTGCTTAGCTGTTTTTAAGTGTCAGCATGCCGCCAAGTCTGCTTTTCTTTTATTTCACAAACTTCTAGATCGAGTGTTTTATGATAAGTACTAACTAGACTACTAAATATACAAGGGAGATCTGTGGCTTTTGGTCTTATAGGTTGCGACATTGTTAGATCCTAGTATAGAATACTGTAAAAAAGGTAGTATTTTAGCATTAATATTACAACTTATACACACGAATTCGTAAGTCTTTGGTTCTCATTTACTTTTTTAAACTAAGTTGATTACAGGAAAATGTTAATTAATTATAAGACTAGAAGCGCTTTACCTTTGGTTCGTATAGTTATTAGTAGTAGTCTAGTATTACAAAATTTTTCTGTTTCATGATAAAAAAGTAAAAAAGTAAAAAAATCATTAATTGGGAGCCAATCAAAATTTTACAGATTGTTCTAGAATCGATTGCCATATTTGATAAAATCCCCGACTGTAAGCTTGTAACAAAAGTTGTAAAGCTCATCAAAATACATCTAATAGTAGTAAAAACATTAAAATAAGCTTGGTAGTTCTTAAGAAATCTTTAAAGAACTTCTTTTTCACATATAAAATTTCTTTAAAAAAAATCAATTTTTTTTAAAGAAATTTTATATGTAAAAAAGAAGTTTTTTAAATATTTCTCAAAAACTACCAAGCCAATTTTAATGTTTTTCTACTATTAGATGCATCTTGATGAGCTTTACAACTTTGTTACAAGGCTAAGAGTGATTTACTTAGTAAAAAAAAGTTTTAGATAGAGCTGCTCCAGATTCAAGCTTATAATAAAATTTATATATAAAAAAAAATTTTGTTTTGTTAACTTATGGATTATCAATTAAAGTAATTAGATATAAAGAATATTAATTATCAGAGCCAAGAACTTGTCTAAAATCAACTATAAAATATTAGAAATTTTGGTCCTTCTATAAAATTTTGAATTTATAAATCTAGTAAATTTAAGATTCATTTGTTGAGGCCTAAATCAAGAATGTAAGTTGAATGAAAACTTAAAAAATTTTACATATTTTGCCAAACAAGCTTAACAAAATTTTAATATTGATATGTTTGTTAGTAAAATAATTTTTTATTTAAGCTAATACTAATTACAAAACAAGAAGCTGAAGCTTAAGAAAGTAAAGAAAATATGACTATACTAGAAATATTGCTAAAAATAGAAACTTTTTTTAAGCAGCTTGGTAAAAGTATCCAAAAAAAATATTTAAGATTAAGGCTAAAAAAAAAAAAAGAATTATTAGACATTTTACAGAAAATAAGATATCTATTTGATTTAAATAATAATTAAAATTGCTTAGAAAATTTAGAAACTAAACAGGAAGAATAATCAATTTTATTAATTATATACTATTATAAACATTTCTTATATAGCACATTATTTTTTCAACTACTATTAAGTATATTATATAAGAGTATAATTGTATATATATATTTTTTTAGATGCAATTAGTTATTTTCATAAAGCTAAATATAATATAGTTAAGTATTCTCAACTCTTTTTATATATTTGCTTATAGTATTTTGCAAAATTAAATATAAATTTGATTTTGATTTTATAAAGTACAATTTTTTTATTTGTAGACAATTGAAGTTTACTATACTAATGATACTTTGTAATCTTAATTTTTATATTTTTATATTTTTATATTTAAGTTTTTTACAAAGTTTAAATACTGTATTATTGAATATTATATATAAAATATAGTATTACTTAATTGTAACATTCTGGTTTAAATTTTAGAATCTATTATTATTTACAAATAGAAAAGTTTGAGATTATTATCAGAACAATTATTCAGATTATATAATTTACTACATAATTATTTTTATTATTCAAATAAAGATTTTATATTGAGTTTATTAAAATGTGTACTTATTACTTTGTGGTTATGGGCAGTGATATATATTTGACTATTTAAAGGCTTTTTTGGCACTGTCTAGTGTCTAAATATCCAAGTATCTAAAAGTGTTCAGAGTATATTTAAGCTGTAAAAATAATAAATTTGTTTAAAAAATATATAATTATATAATTTTTTAGGTGTTGAACATATTTTATTTAGAAATTAATATAGATTATCTTAATAAAATTTTAAATAACTTTGATTTATTTAATTGTCTAAAATTGTCTAAAGTATTCAAACTTACTATCTATAACTGTCCCATGATAACATTAGTTATAGATATTAGTCTGTTATATTTCAAATTATATATAACAAGAAAAAATTTAGATAGTTCACTAGTTTGAATATTGCTACATTTTGAAGAGTACTAATTAGTACTTTTATTTGTTTGATTTGTAATTTTGTGTTTTTTTTATTAATTACTTAATTTATAAAGTGAGTAAAATCTAGATTTATAAATCACTTTTAACTTGAGTCTCTTATTTATATTTGCAAATACATCTTAAGCAAAAAACAAAGTAATTTTGCAACATCACTTAATCGTAATAAAATTAATTATAAGATGCATTTAATTGCAAAATAATTTATATAGTGGTATTAGAAGAATTGGAAGGTTAGCAAATGATGTATTACTATTATTTTATTACCTAATATATTCTTGAAAATTTAGTTTTTAATTGTAATTATTTACTAGATAGCAGGTTAAAATTAAAAATAATAAATATAAGTATTCAATTATTATTAAAATTTTGCCAGAATAGGTTATTTTAATAGAAGCTTTGGTTTGGCCATTGCTACAAAAATAGAACTAGAGCTAATATTAAAGATAGAATATAAAATAGATAATGTTTATTAAATAATTTATATAAGATTATTTCTATATATTAGTATATTAAAGTATATCTAAATTAACTAATAATTTATTTGTTAATCTAGTTATAAAATTTGCTTTACTAATAATATATAATGTAAATTAAAAGACTCCTTTAATAATACTTCTTACAATTTCCAGAGGTTTAAAATATAAAGTACTTCAAGTACTAAAGGTAAATTTATTGTATTTTGGAATATAGGTATTAAAAAAAAACTTAAATATATAAAATATTATTGCAGAACACGTATAATATAACTTATATCTTTTATATTAACTATACTATCCTTCTATAATAATACCTATATATATCTTAAATTGTAAAGTACTCTGGATATTTTAATATATTTTAGTCTATATTGTATAGTAATATTAACTTATAAAGTTTAATTCAAAAATATAAAAAGGTTCCAATCAATAAGATGTTAGGAAAAAACAGAAATCAGCTAATTTTTTAGAAGGATAGGAGTTTATAATTTGATCAGATTCTATATTTTGTAGTTAAATTTAATTGGTTAATATTTGAATTAGATAGGGGGTGGAGTATAGCCTCTTAGTAACTTAAAATCATCTAATTTCTGTTCTTTCTTTTATTATAATTATAAAATCTAATTTTAAATTAATTTATTTTTTATTTATTTATTTTTTTTTTTAACCTTCGCAATGTCGCGTGAAGGTGAATTTTTATTAGATATTTTATATAGTATATTATTAGTTAACAAGAATACATTCTAGCCATATCTGTGTCTTTTAAGCATCTAATTAAGTAGCTACCTATTACTAGAGTCTATACTAGATGCTGTATCTGTAATCCACTATTATTTGAATTACCTATTTAAACTCTCTGATGTCCCCCATTCTGTACTATCCACCACAATTACACCAGCACATAACCTCATACTGCTTCTTATTGAAGACCACCCAGATCAACATCTGCTATACTACTTGTGCTCTAATTCTATTATTACACTAGTAGTTGTAATGTTATACAAATTAGTCATAGAATAGTATTTCATATTATATATTATATTTTATATTTTATCTTTTATATTTTACATTAGTTAAATTATATTATTTAGATATATTTTATTAGAATAGAATAGTTAGAAATGTATGCCACTGTATGCCGTATGCCAGTGTGTGCCGTATGTCACTGTATGCCGTATACCAGTGTGTGCCGTATACCACTGTATGCTATATGCCAGTGTGTGCCGTATGCCAGTGTATGCCACCTGCTATATAGTTGTACTGTATGCCAGTGTATACCACCTGCTATATGGTTGTATGCCAGTATATGCCACCTGCCACATGGTTGTATGCCAGTGTATGCCACCTGCCACATGGTGTATACCAGTGTATACCACTTGGATGTATGCCGGTGTATGCCACTTCTACAGATATATAAAGGGAGGTTTTCCCCCTTAGTTCCTGCAGATATCTCCCTTACAATTCCTACCTTTCCTTGGATATTGGATTGGTCATCTAATATCTGTGCTCCCCCTTTTAATGTGAATTGTATTACCTGTATTACCTGTACTATCTGTATTACCTGTATAACTTATTTGTATTACCTTATTACTAAATAAACTATTTTATATCTATGAATATTGTTCTGTAATTTAAGTACCGCTGTAACATCTTGGTGCCTCCTGGCGGAAATATAAAAGTTATTACTCGATATTTTTAGTAGTAAGAGAAACTTTTCTTGTTAAAAAACCTTTAGTTTATAAACAATAAATTAGTGTACAATTTCTGTATATAATATTTCTAATTGGGTACAATCTTTGTATGTGATATTATTTTTAATTGAGTATATTTCTGTATGTGATATTTTAAACTGTGTACCATTGCTATATATAATATTCTTGGCTGTGTACAATTGTTGTACGTGATATTTTTGGGCCGTGTACAATTTGTACGTGATATTCTTGACTGTGTACAATTTCTGTACGTGACACTCCTAGTGTGTATAATCTTGGAATAATATTTTCAACTGGATACAATTTTTGTATGTGATTTTTAGCCGGTTATTTTGGATAAGAATTTTAATCTTTTGCTAGCAACCTTAAAAGAAACAGTAAATTAGATTTCAGTCTTGATTCTAGAAATAGGATTGGAATATATTATAGTATATGTCTACTGTAACTGAGTTTCATAACAATCAAATAGCTTTACACAAACAAGCACATCAACAAACTACTTCTTTACCTTATTCTAGTTTACAATTAAATTACACTGATTTATCTTGTCCTCTTTGTTATCCTCTTGACCGATATAATCCTTGTGGAGAGTTTGGTCAATTAATTGAATGGTATCAAACTATTACACCTTTACAAACCTTTAACTTATCTACTCAGAACCAATTTCATCTTTTGAAAAACACTACTAGATATACTGTTGCCCGTAAAGCTGCTCATGATTTAATATTTAGTTGTCGCTATCATAGTGATATTCCTAACTCTAAACAATTAATAATTCAATTATTATATAGATATACAACTTTCTCACATTACTCACCTTTAGGATTAGCTTTTGCT